ACAGAATGACCACTGGGTTTGGCTGGTCCCCTACTGGGCCGTCTGGCCGTACGAGACCATGCTCCTCCCCAAACGACACATTCTACGAATTGAGGATCTGACCTCGGAGGAAAGGAACGGTAAGATCTTATTCTCAGAGGTTAAAGTGAAAGTTAAATCTGAACTCGGAGGGAAGGGACGGTAAGATCTTATTGTCAGAGGTTAAAGTGAAAGTTAAATCTGAACTCGGAGGGAAGGGACGGTAAGATCTTATTGTCAGAGGTAAAAGTGAAAGTTAAATCTGATCTCGGAGGAAAAGAACGGTAAGATCTTATTGTCAGAGGTTAAAGTGAAAGTTAAATCTGAACTCGGAGGGAAGGGACGGTAAGATCTTATTGTCAGAGGTAAAAGTGAAAGTTAAATCTGATCTCGGAGGAAAAGAACGGTAAGATCTTATTGTCAGAGGTTAAAGTGAAAGTTAAATCTGAACTCGGAGGGAAGGGACGGTAAGATCTTATTGTCAGAGGTTAAAGTGAAAGTTAAATCTGAACTCGGAGGAAAGGGACGGTAAGATCTTTTTGTCAGAGATTAAAGTGAAAGTTAATTCTGAACTTGGAGGAAAGGGACGGTAAGATCTTATTGTCAGAGGTTAAAGTGAAAGTCAAATCTGAACTCAGAGGAAAGGGACGGTAAGGTCTTATTGTCAGAGGTTAAAGTGAAAGTTAAATCTGAACTCAGAGGGAAGGGACGGTGAGATCTTATTGTCAGAGGTTAAAGTGAAAGTTAAATCTGAACTCGGAGGAAAGGGATGGTAAGATCTTATTGTCAGAGGTTAAAGTGAAAGTTAAATCTGAACTCAGAGGGAAGGGACGGTGAGATCTTATTGTCAGAGGTTAAAGTGAAAGTTAAATCTGAACTCGGAGGAAAGGGATGGTAAGATCTTATTGTCAGAGGTTAAAGTGAAAGTTAAATCAGAACTCGGAGGAAAGGGACGGTAAGCTCGTATTATCAAAGATTAAAGTGAAAGGGACAGTACATGTAAATGTTAACAAATGATGAAAGTGAAAGTTACGCACATAAACTGGTGCCTTATTTTTAATTCAATTATTGTCAAGTTTTGAAATTTAAAGAAAAATTATTAATTTTTTTGGATATAGTCTTATCAGATGGATACACCACAAAATTGTACGCAATAGTAAGCACCTATAACATTTTTAATTTTCAGCACTAGCAGACATCATGAAAAAACTGCTGACAAAGTATGACAACATGTTTGAAGTCTCCTTTCCCTACTCCATGGGCTGGCATGGTAAGGGACAAAGTTTAAACTTTATCTATTATTTGCATATACACTCTACCCAACAAGTAGCTATCCAAAGGATGAAGGCAAACTCAAAATTCAATTATAATACCTTAGGATTAGTAGGAATGGTTTCCACTAGGTATTGATATACCGCTGTATATAGAATATTACTCATGTATGATTGGTTGCAGGTGCCCCTACAGGGGAGTATCTCCAACAAAATAACAGCCACTGGCAGCTCCATGCTCTTTACTTCCCCCCTCTGCTGAGATCAGCTACTGTCAAAAAATTTATGGTGGGCTATGAGATGTTGGCTCAGTCTCAGCGAGATTTAACTGCAGAACAGGTAAGAAGATACAGAAGGTGCCTTTTTAGGTCACTTGAGTAAACTCAGGTGACCTATTGCTATCCGTTTTCGTCCGTCGTCGTACGTCATAGGCGTCGGAACCGGGGGGGCTAGGGGGGGCTTAGCCCCCCACTTTTTTTTCCAAATATATACTTAGTATAGACATTGAACATATCTTCGTAGGTTTAGCCCCCCCCCCCCCCCCCCCCACTTTCTACAGGTACGTCTTAGTATAGGTTAAAAATGGGGAAAGTGGTGGTGTTTGGAAAAAAAATTTTGGTATCGAAGTCCGAACTAACCCCCCCCCCCGAAATAGGATTTTCGTGTTTTGGAAATGGACATTTTCCTTTTTTTTTTTTTTTTTTTTTTTTTTTGCTTGTCAGGATTTTTTGAAGGTACAAAAATTTTTTTTTTACACTTAGCCCCCCCACTTTCAATTTGCTTCCGACGCCAATGTACGTCGTTTGTAAACTTTTGAACATTTCTAACTTCTTCTCTGGAACTACTGAACCAATTTCAACCAAATTTGGTATACAGCATCTGTGGGTAAAAGGAAACAAAAAATTGTGAATTTCATGGTCCCTGCCCCCCTGGGGCCTGAGGAGTGGGGCCAAAACCACAAAAATTAATGTAAACTTTAAAAATCTTATTCTTTACTCCTGGACATCAAGCAGTCAAACTGTTGACATGATTGTAATCAGCATTGAGTCCTCTACCAAAATTGTGAAATTCATGGCCCCTGGGTCAGGGGTTCTGGTGTTAGGGCGGGGCTATATGATCATATATTAAAAGTGCATTATTTCTTTGAAAATCTTCTTCTCTGCTCCTGGGTATTAAATTAATAAACTAAGAACATAGTTATGATAACCAAGAGTGCTTCTTCAAAAATTTTGAATTTCATGGCCCCTGGGTTGGGGTTTTGGTGTTAGGGCGGGGCTGTATAGATCATATAGTAAAAGTGCATTTATTTATTTCTTTGAAAATCTTCTTCTCTGCTCCTGGATATTACATAAACTAACTAAGAACATAGTTATAATAACCAAGAGTGCCTCTTCAATAATTGTGAATTTCATGGCCCCAGAGTCAGGGGTTCTGGTGTTAGGGCGGGGCTATATAGATCATATAGTAAAAGTGCATTATTTCTTTGAAAATCTTCTTCTCTGCTCCTGGGTATGAAATAAACTAACTAAGAACATAGTTATGATAACCAAGAGTGCCTCTTCAATAATTGTGAATTTCATGGCCCCAGGGTCAGGGGTTCTGGTGTTATGGCAGGGCTCTGTTGATTATATAGTGAAAATACATTGTTTCTTCAAAAATCTTCTTCTCTACTCCTGGGTATTAAACCAATGAACTATGTGCATGTACATAGTTATGATGAGGAAGGATGCCTCTTCCAAAACTGTGAATTTCATGGCCCCTGGGTCAGGGGTTCTGGTGTTAGGGTGGGGCTCTAATGATTATTATATATAGTGAAAATGCATGAAATCTAGCAAAATGATTAATTTCATGTTCTCTGGGTCAGGGGTATTGGGAGGGGGAGGGGTTAACAGTACATAGTCTGAAGATAAATAAATGCTTTGAAATCTGCTCTGTGGTATGAATCAACCATTTATGATGAAATAAAATTTATGATCATATTTCCAAAATTTTGAAATATGTGGCCCCAGGGTCAGTGGTTCCTGTGGGGTGGGGTGCACCACTGGTTATAAAGTGAAAATTAGTTTTCTCTTTCTTACTCTGATCTAACTCTGGGTATTAAGTAACTAGAGTAAGCATTCTAAGTGTATAATTATGATAAGCAATGGTGCTTCTTTCAAAATTGTGAATTTCATGGCATCTGGTTTAAAACACGAACCAAATTCAATATTTGAAAAGTTGTTTCATGATACTCAGGTGATCTATAAGGCCAGTGGGCCTCTTGTTAATGAATAGGTTTTTTTGTGTAATGAAACTTAAACAGGATAAATATTTGAGAGATATTAAGGATATCAATACCAAATCAGATTTGCTTACCAGTCCATGTAATAAATATTCTGATGTTCTCCAAATTCCTTGATTTTCTAGAAATAGATTTTTCTTGCACCATGATCTATGTATGTTAAATGAAAAATGTTTTGGATCATGATTACTATGGAAACCTGGTCAAACAAATTTTCTTAGCTACCAGTCAATTATTTGTTAATTAAATTTAATATTTGTCTCTAGTCAAATGTAATTTATATTACTGTAGAGGCACCAATTTTCGTGGGGATAAAATTTCGTTGATTTGTCATCAAAAATAGTTTCGTGGGCATTTACCGGGTAATTTCGTTGTTTTGAAAGTAACCCTATTCAATATATAGTTATGTAAAATTTTGTGTGGGATTAAATTTCGTTAATAATTGTTAACAATGAAATAAACGAATTTTAATCCCCCATGAATATTTGTGCTTATACAGTAATTTTTTAAATCAAAACACAAAAAAATAATTAAACAGATTCACCACTTAAAATACTATATATTTTTTCAGGCAGCAGAGAAGCTGAAAAGTTTACCAGATTTGCATTATAAATCAAAGAATTCTTAACGAATCCAGAGACTTAGTGCTTCACAATTTACCAAATCTGCATTATATACTACAGAAACCTTAACCACAGACTTAGTGCTGGAGTAGTGCCAAACTTCAGGGTCCCTGCTGTGTTCTGATCATGTATAGTATTATAAATAAATTGTTTTATCCTTTGATGATGTTTTATTTATCTTTGATTGTGATGATCATTTTCCATGATACTGCATTACTGCTTCATTTCTCTACTGGCAAAGTTTTGTCCATTTTTTTTTACATCGCAGTTAAAACAACTAGATAGTCAACTTCAAGGACAAGATGTGTTTGTGATACACTATGCACCTGGCAGCAACAAAATTTGAAAAGAAATTTTTAGCATATATAGGTCACAGTCAAGGTCACAAGGTCATTGACCTTAGCGTCATTTGAAAGAGCTTAATTAGTGGAGTATGCATACCAAATATAAAGTCTCTATCTCTCATGGTTCAAAAGTTTTGGCAAAGGGAAAAGTTGACAACAGACAAACGGACAGGACAAAAACAATATACCCATGGGATCTATCCAACAGGGAATTTGTTTGACAGGCTAAAACAAATGGGGTTAGAGGATTGGTTGGACAATTCTCTTGTAAAAAGTTAGGTCTTTCCTTCATTTATTTACGAGTCTTATTACCAACCCACTAAGGAGTGACAAGAATTTTCAACAGTTAAAAAATTAATTCTTATTTTTGCTTCTTTACTCATTCTATTGCTAGCTGTAAACAAATTCCGAGGTGCATTATTTTGCTGTTGCATGAAACACCCAATAACAAAACATAAACTGATTAATTTTATTGAATCATTTTAATAGAATAACATGTGAAAAAGGAAACTAGAACAAAAATTCCTTATAAATACAAATATATAAAAATTTGAGCTATATACTTCATGAATATTGATAGTTTTCATACAACTACCATACACAGTAAAAAGGATGCTTCATTTTGATTGGATATTGACACAATTTATTAAGTTCAACAGGAAATTAAAATAATTTTGTTGGAAGTGAGGCACAAGCATGTTCACTGTAACCATGTTATTTGGTTAGTCTTTTAATTATACACATTTTTTTCCCCTGAGAGATAAATTATCCATGTACTTTTATAGAGCAGTCACAAATTTTCTACAAGATGTATTCAGAACTTCCTGTAGGATAGAACAATTTCTTTTTTAAAAAGTTGCATTTAAATATCTATCCTCATCAGATATTGTTCCCGTAAGACTTCACAGTTTTAATCTCGCTAAAATATAATACAGGTAACAATCATGGTAGTAAAATCTATCCATTAGATTAACATGTACATAAGAGAATTAATCATTCATTAATTACAGTTTATTTCATCCTTTCTTGTTTTCTAAAATCCCCTGACATCTGTAACTCCACTACTTTTTATTTAAAGTCATTGTTCCTCATTCAATGACATGAATTGATGAACTGAAGTAGAGAATCTATTTAAACCAACTGAAGCACCTGATGATACACAAAGGATTGAGGGAATGTGACCTATCAGATCACTGACCAATTAGATTACTGACCAATCAGATCACTGACCAATTAGATTACTGACCAATCAGATCACTGACCAATCAGATCAAGGACCAATCAGATCACTGAACAATCAGATCAGAAAAAATGAATTACAGAACTATGGTGCTCATATCATGGAATAATAGAATGTGACCAATCAAATCAGAAAATGATTTAGAACTATGGTGCTCATATCATGGAGTAAGGGATTTAGTGCATGTGTCAAAAATATAAATCAAGTAAAGTGTACTTATACACTACAAAAGAATGAGGTCAATTCATCAACTTTCTGATTTTATAAACTTCACAATTGCTGCAGGCACCTTCATTTTGGTTCTAAAGCAATCTGAAATTCACAGAAGTATACAAAACACTGGTCATAAAACCTTGCACATTAATCTGAAAATTGTTTCATTACATATGATAATCTTGCAAGATCAAAGGAAAATTTACAAAATACAGCAGTACTTTTTGTCACTGTAGAAAAATTCTGATATTTCTTCATTTTGTTTGGATTGATTTAGCACTCAAATCTTCCATAAGATCAGAGAATTCTCTTGCACTTTACCGTATATACTCGCTTATAAGTCGGTTGTATTTTTTTAATGTTATTTTGCAGGGATTTGCCATTGACCCGCTTATAAGTCGGTACAACTTTTTGCCGGAATCAGAGTCAATTTTAAATAAATGCTCTTATGTTTTAAACTGGTTTCAATCAATATTTTTTTTAGAAATGAGGGTTGATTATTAACTTTAAATCATTGAAGAAAAAGAAAATGCCCTCTTAAGATTAAAAAATGAAATTATTTAATATATGTACTATAGAAATACTTGTTATCAACGCATACTCTTAGAATACAAACATGATATATGAAATCCAGACTAAGTTCACTGATAACTGTTGAAAATATTTATAGAATATTACGTTTCGCCGTCCAGAAAATTATTAGTCTTTTATGACTTGCCTATAAAGTCAGACATAGACTTTTGGACTAAAATTTAATTCCCAAAAAACCGACTTAAAAGGCGAGTATATACGGTACTTTTAGCATAGATTTGGGCAATGCATGGCTTCCATCTGAGTCCTCATCGACTTTAATTAAGAAACAGTGTTTCATAACCCCATCTTATATTATTAAGAAAAATAAAAGCTGACTCTATAATACAAAAAAAAATTATTATCAGTATAAGGTGGACACCGTTTGCACATATTTACACATATATACATGGATCTCTGGCTGCTGTATCAATACATTAGTTAGTACAGTTGAACTTCATTATCTCGAACTGTGATATCTCGAATACCATGGATATGTCTAAGTGATTTGGAAGTCCCAGCCACATATTCTTTAAGTGATTTACCTTCGATATCTTGAATCCTCGGATATCTCAAGGTTTTTTTTCAGTCCCATCAGGTTCGAGATAATGAAGTTTGACTGTATTTTAAACAAATCTTAACAAACACTGGAATTTACTCAGCAGCAAAGAAGTTGCATTTTATAGCCCCTTGGAAGCAAGTTTAACAGTAAAGAGCACCAGGTGTTTTTTTCACTGGAGGTTTTTTGGCACCAGGACTATGTCTCTCTCTAACATGTGAGTTGTCACCGGCACACACTTCATGAAGTTGAGACTGACATCGTTTGTGATCGACTCCATTGTCATGGCCATCAGGTAGTTGATTTTCGTCATGGCGGGGAGCATTCTGATCTTGTGTCCGTTATTCACGTGATTCATGTAAACTCTATATAGACACGTTATCAGCCAGCCTCCTGTATCCAGTTCTGACCACGCAGCCATACCTGTCATTAAAATAAATCATACAGGTTTTTAATCCTTTACATTTGAATAATCCCTGGTCAGAAATTTAAAGCTTTATAGTAATATATGCCTGTTACAACAGACTTACAATTATTTTTTTTTTAACTTATCAAATTAAAGTGAGGTGAAAGTTAGGGATGGGTATCACTAAAAATTTCATATCGCGATTTATCACGATTTTTCCCCAAAATATCAAGAAAATATCATGATATTTTTACAAGCAATTTTTACAATGATTTTAAATTAACTTTTCTTTTTTTTCTTAAAAATATGCTAGAAAAATTAAATTTCACTTTTTTTGAAATTTTTATTTTATTAAATTAATCATGTTTGGATGGTAAGTTGCCATTCCTTTCACTTTTTACAACATTTTTTTTAGACTTTCTGTAATTGTAATTGAAAGATTGAACAAACAAATATATAATTTCTGGACTTTCTAATATGTACCTAAATACCGGTATTTAGGTCTCTGTATCACGATATGTATACCTGGTATACGCACCAAAAAATCGCGATATACCGGTATCCTGATAAAATCGTACATCCCTACTGAAGTTGAAGGGAAAAGTCAAGGTAAAAAAAATGTTGATGCCGTTTAAAAGTTTACATAATTATGTATCAGCATTTGAAGCTGGACAAAAAATAAAAAAAGGTTTCTTTGAAACTGAGCTTTGAGTTGAGCTAAACAGAAGTCAAGAGAAGGACAGAAGTATGGAAGAAGGACATGACAAATTCTATATGCTCTGGCCATATTCATGGTAGGAAATAAAAAGTGGTAACAAAATACCAATGGGCCAGCATGTATGGTAAATGGTATACATGAACATTAATATCATAAATAATGTATTAAATGCAGGAAAACTGTGGAATCCTCATCGTTCATGGGTGACCAGAATTTGAGGATTTAGAATTTTTTGGGTCAACTTTTAAAACAACTACATGTATACCCAATCAATGAAATGCTATGATCAAAAATTGTTTTAAATTACCACTGACCTGATGGACTTGCCATCACTATCATACAGTTGTGGAAACACGGTGGGGGCGCTATGGCAATCTCTTCCTCCATTGGGGCACGTAGACGACCAGATAAGTCAGAGAACAATTTGTTGTTTTTCATGAAATTTTCTGCTCTTATTCCCTTGGCATCCATCCTAGAATGGGATTCCACTGTAAAAGTAAAGAATCATTTTTTATGTTTTATCTAATTATTCAACTCTGTCAAATCAATTCAATGTTTATTATTAAAAAAAGTACATAACATATATGAACTGTAGAAGAACTTTTTTCTGTATGGTTTTAATTTACAATATGTACACAGTCACAAATTTTCCACAGAAAACATGCCATCATACATAAAAAATATACATGTATAGAATACATTGGGAGTTTATAAAATCCATGAATTTTCTATTCCGATTACTAAAGATTAAATAGAAATAGAGATTCTGCAAAACTCTGACCCTGTGGGAAAAAGTAAGTCTACAGTATGCCAGGAAAAAGCCAAATTTTTACACCCACTAAAGAAGTCCCCTATATGGTACTTTGTACTACTGGGGTAAATCTTGCCATTTTATACCACTACGACAAACCTTACTACCTCATACCACTGGAGATCTTACCGTTTTGTACCACAGGGTTATTTTGGGATGACATAACAGGTTGTGCCAGTGGGATTGGTTCTTCCCTGGATTCTGATTGGATCCTGATAGACACGCCTCCATCCACCATGTCACCCACAGATTTATCTTCACCAACCCTACTCCTACAAGCCTAGACAGAAAAAAACACCAATGTTGAGCTCTGTATGCTAACAAGGGTCCCATTCATATAGAATGGAACCTCACTATACCATATACAGTTGAACTTCGGAACTCCGATATCTCGAATACCATGAATATGTCAAAATGATTTCGAAGTCCAAACCAGGCATATTCTTGGTGTATTTTACCTTCAATATCTTGAATCCTTGGATATCTCGAAGTTTTTTCTCTGTCCCATCAGGTTTGAGATAACGAAGTTTGACTGTATTTGGCTTTTTTTCCCTGTTTTCAATCATTGGTTTTTTTTAATATCAGTCTTTCAGTCTTTACCTTTGTTTTACATGGTTAACATGTCATTTTTGAGACATATGAATGACATTCATATATACCCAGGTACATGTAGGTTACATTGGGTAAAATAAATATCACCTGACATCTTTCTCATCAGTGTTACAGTATTTTATATTTATTATATGATTGAATAATTTCCATCTCTCTGATTGGATGAGATCCAACTACGTTAGAAAAATACTACGTTGTATTGACTTGCACTTGACCTCCTAGGTCAATACAAGGATTTATTTCCTCTACATTGATCTAAAAATAGATCGGGAAATTCCAAAATGATACAAATTGTTTTGGAAAGCTATTTAAATGACTATGACTTTTTTTTAATGTGAACAAAACATAAGCGAATATATATTTTCAGGAGAGTGTGGTAAGAGGGGATGCAGGGACACCCCTCCAACGCTTTTACTGAACAACAATTTTTACTTTTTTGGCAGTCAGTTTTCCCTGATAATACTCCTTCCTTTCAAAATCTATCCGATAAAAAAGACTGACATTATATTTTTTTAATGGCAACTCAACTGATAAAACAAAACTTCAAATTCATATGACTGGTAAGGCTTATTTACCGATACATTTTAATTCTGCTTCTCTTTTGTATTTGGCTAGGACTTAGTTAAATGCAAACAAGTACTGGGCTTTATCATTTTATCAGTGAATCATATAATAAAACAATTATTGCTGTTTTTTTGGTCAATACAATGATTTAGCCATCTTCTAAGTACAATATTCACCTCGCTCTTCGGGCTCGGTGAATATTGCACTCCTCAGATGGTTAAATCATTGTATTGACGTAAAAAAAACAGCAATAATTGTATAGTATTTACTTGTATGAAGAAGACTTTAGGTTTCCCTTTCAAGGCCTGACACTTTTGGTCGTCAAACATATCGATGATTTCGCTGGTCTGAATGCTGCCGTCTGTCGTGGAAAATCGGTGTTGGTAAAACTTAATCTCCTGTCTCCTGAATTCTGGGTTCATGCTGCTGTCCCTCCTTACTTCTGCCTCCATGCCATGGGAACTTATCACCATGACAACGCATGAGATTCTTTGTAGAAGTTCGGTATTAGAGGTTACTGCAGAAAATAAGAGGAAAATTTTACAACTTATAAAGTGCTCCCTCAGGTCATGTTTCATAAAATCCTCTTTGAGTACAATTATATATAAAATACATATTTACTGCCTTGAAATATAAGATATTTGGGCTCGGGTAAGAAAACATGATAGAGGGTAAGGGTTGCCGAACCCTCCATCATGTTTTCGACCAGAGCCCATAAATTGCTTATATTTCAAGACAATGACCATGTATTTTGTTTATCCTGCAAAATATATTTACATCTGTCCTCCAAAATGAACTGTTTTTGACCAGATTTAGACACATTTCTGCAGTGGAAGACGCCATTGCACAAACATTGCAGTATACATGATGTCACAATGCTTTTAGAACGTCGGAATACATGCATGAGGCTTTATTAGGGCATTGACCGAATAAAGCTTTGGTTTATTAGATTACATTTATTAGGTCAATGCAAGGGGTAGTTGCAGGATAAAATGATATATTTTCCATGGAAAACGGATCTTGTGCAGAAGAATTTTCAAATGTTACCTTCATTTCTCAACTATAATTTTTTTTAATCCCCCTCCCCTTCCCAGCAAACAACCCTTCCAAATCATCTCTAGCTCTCAGATAATTACTCTTACAAATATTTTCTCAAGTACCCTGTTCATTTACTCTCCTGGTTATATTCTTAGACTATTGAAATCCAGTTCACTAATGTAATTGTCCATCTCCAATCCAGAACTGTATTCCAAATACTAAATTTCTTATTCCTAATTTTTAACTTTAACGTCTGTCTTATTCCCAGCTAAAAACTACCCTAAATTAATGTATTCTTTCACCACAGTCAGCAACTATTACTAAACTTTATCTTTTTTTTTTGTATGTAACATGGTTGTAAATTGCTAATAGGTTTGGTGAATCAATAATTATATAAATTGATTTATCCACAAATTGACTTAACTTCACTCACCATCTTTGATCCACTTCATGCATTCTTCATCAGTCAAGTCTTTTCTCCATTGAACCTCAAAGCCTAGATGTTCATGGAACAGCTCATACATTTTTTCTAGATCTCTTTTGACCCCAGGTCTTGGTACTTCACCATTTTTAAAAGTTTCAAACCCCAGAAGTAGGGCGAGCCCGGGTTTATTCACGTCCACCACAACAAACTCTTCTTCCTTGACTTCACAGTCCTCTGTCTGGACAGGGATATTATCAACATAGAGTTCCAGGCGAGGCCCTAATTCTGTCTCGTGGACTACATGTCTGTCTCCACTGCACTCACTGGAAATTACCAAATAGACATGTACATTTACAAGTAACAAGTACACTCTCAAGTTTGTGTTTTACAGTTGTCTGAATGATTAAAGACTTTCAAAGAAATCACAACACAAACCTGTTGCTACCAGCGACGAGATTGGCATCTAGTCTACTGGACATAGTTCTTTCTCTTGCTGGGATTCTCAAATGAACATGATGAATGCTAAATAACATACATAACATAATCCATTAAAACACAAGATCACATCAAAGTGAACTACTACTCTAAACTTGACTTAGTTGACTATATATAATTTCATGGTTAATAAAAAGCACAACCCTGTCATTTACATTGCTCAAATACTGACATACTAGTACAGTATTCTATCTTAGTATCTAGAGACTTAAAACTCAAGGAAATGTTCAAAGACAAACCAATTTTGGCATATAAAAAACACAGGAATTTAGGATTTCAATCTAAAATGTTTGAAGTTTACTTGAGTCTTTGGCTTATTTAATAATCCCCGAACCAAACAATCATGATGTCGGTCATGTCATCTCACATCTGGTCATTACAAGCAACCACAGAACGTATCTAAATTTATTCAAAGTTATACATAATTACATTACATACTCACTGTCATGATATAAATAGAATAAAGATAAGTGATTAGATTAGTCTGTTTTCAACCACTTCCACGAACTCCGAACTGGAATAAACAAACCGAAAGTAGATGTAAAATACGGAGCGGAAAGGTCGTCATTCCGAAAAGATGTCATATTCCAGTCGATGAAAGATTGTGTTTCAATTTTTATCGTAATAATCGGTATTTTGTCGGAAGAAAAGAGGATGGGGTATTACTCAGATGTTTTATCGGATCACTTTCTATTATTTGTTCATCATAACACAATGTACACTTGCAATACAGAAAAGAAAAATGCCCCCCCCCCCGAAAAACATATGACATTTCGGCGCTTCATTCAAGAATTTATCAAAGAAAAATTTAAAAAATGTTTTATAACATTATAGACAAAGTTCTGCTTATTAAAATCTTCAAGTTTGATTGTTCATTCAACATCAAACTTTCTCTGTTAAAAACATTCTGTTTTGACTTACGCCTATTCTCAGTTTTTGATCTTGAAGCGGCGATGCTTGCAGTATGGGACACAATTAGTGCCCATGATATTTCCAACATATCGTTGGAAGGATTAAAACACTTTCTTAGATGATTGATACTGTCAAAGAAAGCCTCAGACGTCTTTTTATAGTAAGTTTCAGGGAACTTATCGTGTGTAGAATCATTAAAAATGATTTCCTAAATTTTATTTAATACATTTGCTAAAAAATTGCAAATTGTTCGAGGCAATCTTTATAAAAATGTTTGGTTGCCCTATCCCGACCGACTGACTAAAATTGGCCCCTTTCAGAAACTTTTTTTTAAATTCCAGGTCAATTTTTTTTATTCATCTTATTCGTCAACAACTATGTTGAAATTTTTCGGGTAAAAGATTGTCCTTAGACGTATATTACTACCGTCCCATTAAATTTACCCTGAGTGGGAGGGGTCAAGCAAACATTATTTTAAAGATGGCCTCATTTTCAAAATAATTTCAAAGTTTAAATTAAGTCCGAGTTAATAGTTTTTGGTCTAACATCCATCTATCACCAGTAAAATCACAAAGTCGACTTCTCAACAACCACTGGGCAAATTTCAAACTTGACGCAAAAAGGCATCCTTGAGCAAAATGGAATTTACATTTGTTCAAACGAATGCTGAGCCCTCTTTCAAAGGCAGATAATACACAACTAGTGAAAATTTAATGGTATCTTTTAAAAGAAATCATCTTCTCAAGAACCAATGTGTCAGATCATATGAAACTTCGGTCAAAACTTCAATACATTGAACAGGTAAATTTTGTTCAAATCATGACCCATGGGCTAGAGTGGGGTCACAAGTAAGAAGTATATCAAAGTTTTACATAGGAATACATATGGAAATTCTTTCATGAACAACTAGCCTATGATTAGTCACATTTCAAAGAAAGCATCAATCCTCATGTGGTGAAGATTTAGGCTGGTCCATGATCCTTCCTCCTGAGATTAGGGTGGAGTCCCAATGACCAAACAAAAAAAAGTTTAACATAGAAGTGTACAGGGAAAATCTTACAAAAAATGAGTCCAGCTGTATAGGTGGAGTGGAATGGAGTGAAATTACAAAGAACAAAAACGTTACAACCATTTTATTTCTTTGTAAAATTTTTCATCCATTTTGTGAGTGCTGAGTCTACACGTAGTAGAAATATGAATATGACAATAGACAAAGCATAAACAGTGAAACTGGTCATTGCTTCAAACACAAAACGTGGAGCAAATATCTTCCACACCATTAAGTGTCTTCTATGTAGAAAGGCAGCAAGGACAGATCCACAAATCTACAAATACAAAAACAGTTACTGTTAAAATCTAAATGTTGATTTAATTTTTTTAGTTAATCAAAACATTGCATGAGCATAATTATTTACCTCAAAAATTGCATAACTTGCTGAATGGCTTCAATATTTACCCAATTTTGAATAAAGATATTAAAGGCTCTGGAATTTTGCAGCAGGGGGAGATAATTCATTCCCTATCATCCTTTACTCAGAAATTATTTTTGATTGATTGTCTGCCTGTTGTTTCTTGCAAGAATAAAACTTTTACTTGAAATTCAGGGTCATAAGCAGTGAGACATTTCTACTGTGAAAAACGATTCCATGAAAACCTGTACGTTTACATTTAGTGCTGGGAATTGGTAAAGCAACACAATCTGATTAAAATCCTGAAGTTCCCTTGATCTGCTTACATAGCCAGCTATGTGAGTGGATCAAGGGATCTGATTTTAATCTGATTCTAAAGCAACAGTAACAACTTATGTTGATGCAGCACTGGGGCCAATTGAAACCCACTTAGGCCATGGATGTCAGACAAAATTTGCTATACATGTATATAGAATATGACAAAAACAGACGGAGGATGTGTGTATTAACTTGTACTGTACAATTTTAGTGTATTATGTGTTGCATGTCCTTAAAGTTTAATATTTTGATTCAGTTCAATAATTTATATATTAAAGCATATTCTACTAAAAATCTCACCTTAAATCCCTGATATAGAAAGACATATGAGTATATTCTGAATATCTGCATTCTGAAGTTTTCCTTGTTGTCATGGAAACAGAAATCTCCAATCCAGTCCGGGTTGTCCTTCCTGTTGACCCCTATGACCCATCGGGTCAACAGTCCACCTGTTTTAGGCCAGAATAGGATCAAAGGGCAGATAACTGCTGCTAGCACATGAGAGGAAAATGTGTTGAGGTGAATAAGTATTGCTGGCAGAATGTTGTTGGTGAAATCTCCATGGAGACCAATAAATGCTGACTCCCAGCGAATGGTTGGGATGGTTGCCTGGTGACCAGTGGCGTAGAAGAAAACAGAGGCTAGCACACAGAGGAAGACTAGACTGGTCCACAGAGACACAGGCAAATCTAAAAAATATATTTACATTCATGTATATCAAACACATGCTTTAATTAAAAATTTCTCATTCCAGAATGTTTAGAGATAGTTGACACAATTGATCTACATCCAGGAAATATTTTAACACACACCACTATTTCTTTTTTCAGTTTAGTATCAAAATGGTCTTTGTAGTTTGAAAAACTTTAAATAACTCATGTAATGCAAGATATTTCAGTGCTCATGTTCCCTTATAATGACAAACATACCCCAGTATTAATTCAATTCTTAACCTATGTTACATTAGTTAAAAATATTCAAAAATAATGAACACAACACTTTTAACCATTGGTGTTATTTATAATTACAGAGAATGCTTCACACTTACTTATTGTTTCTCTGATTGCGATGATTTCAAGAAGGCAATATACAGAAAAAATGACGAGCAACAAACTTGGCATCAGTCCATCACCTAGCAACAGGCCAAGAAGCACCAAGCCCACAGTTACCATAGCAACAGTGGCTGCTGTAAAGGAGGTGGCCAGTCCATAAACTAATGGAGGTTTATCTTCCTTCTCCTCCAAATTCTGTTTTAGCTGATGGTAAATATTGGGTATGAGTTGCTTATCGTCTTCCATAACCAGTTGTTTTGATCTCAGCACAACAAAAATACAGAGAGGGTCATAGATCAGAAGTAAAAGGAACAGAGCAACCAGAATATACACTACCCTGGGAAGGAGGACCTGCTGCCAGGGAGGAAGGCTGTCCAGAGATTTCTGAGGGAGTCCCTGTAATGCCCAGTGAAGGGAGCAAAACAGGGCAGACAGGGGGAGGAGGTAGGTTACCCCCAACACAGGGGGCCGGAAACCATTCAGATTCCCAAAATGTTTCATCACCTGACGAATCACTAGTACCATGACGACTAAACAGACCAGAGTGAAGAAGTACCTGACATTCTTCACCCCCTCCTGACTGTTTAGATTTCCCAGAGGCTGCAGGAAAATGGAGGCTTCACATTGGTGCTGTTCTTCCCGACACACTCGGAACACCGCTGACAGTCTCAGGAACAGACTCCAGGCCAGGGTCAGGAAAATCAGGACTAGGGCGGGGTGAGTCAGGACTCTCATGATATCAAAGTGTCGGGGCGGCTTCTGCTTTTTTGTTTTGGGATCTACAGGTGTGTCAGACAGTCGAAAGACATGTTTTAATGTGAAGAATGAGAGAATCCATGAGAGAGATTGAAGCAAGTACAGAGTTATGGAGTCCTCATTGACAACAAAACTGTTGGAGAAATAAGTCACAAAAGTGAAAAAAGTTATAAAAACAGCGAAAACAAACTCCAGAGATTCAATTCCTAAATAATGTTCTTCTTTGGCATTCAGAATAAGGGGATTCTTGCTCTTGAAATTATAAATCAACAGCAAAACTCCAAAAATGAGACAACTTCCCATCAAAAACACCATCATTGCACTGTAGCTTTCACCGATAAAAAATGACTGAAACACAGCGAATGCCAGATAAACCAGGGAAACCAGGAACACAACCAGAACTGTCGCGGGAATGTCCTTCTTCCACCAAAACGAGATCTTTATAAAGTAAACATTAACACTCAGAGCTAGAAACAAAGTCAGGACCCCAATACACATAGACATAACATCAAACTGGGCCCAGACCCCCTCCGCTGTCCCCCCAACTTTGTCGATGTAGAACGTGTATTTGTCTCTGAGATTCCGCAGCTTCTCCTCCATTAGGGGACTCTCGCTGTCCCGGACTGACTCCGACAGCAGGGTGTTTAGCTCGGATTCTGCCGTGTCTAGGACGCTCTTCAGCTGGTAGTACGTCTGGATGGGGAAGTCCGAGGAATGCTGGAAGTATTCCTGTAGGTAAGTGTTGATCTGGTGAGCATTCAGTCTCAGGGCCTTCACACTGTGAAATAACTGGATAAAAATAAAAAGATAGATATAACCTTACAGAAACCTCAACCACACAAGTTAATCATAAGAAAAAAATACACAAAAAAAATATCTAGTGCATAAAAATGAGAATGGAATTTAAAAGAATTACGTCACTGTATCAATAAGATTGATAATATGAGTAACATGGTGAATTCTTTTATCTAACAATGTAAATTTAAATACAATATATTTATTAACCAGTGTGGTCTAACAGTGAGGTAGACATGAATTCTCACCTGTTTTATGGAACTACTTTCTGTTTTCCAGTCTGTGCAGTGA